AATTTCTTGGTTTCAGTTTTTATCGAAGCTGTTTCTTCTTCGTCGTAACGTCTTTGTTCTTGAGTATTTCTCTCCATTCTTGAGCGTCTTTGAGCATCTGTTTCACCGTTTGTCGAGTTTTCCAAATTTGGAGGTAGTGGGTGTTGTCTCTCCAACGGATTGAGTAGGTTTTCTATGTCTATGTTTCCTTCGCAATTATAGCTAATTGAAACAGATCACTCCAGTCTTCCCATGGAATGGGGGGGGTCTACCGTATGGTTTTGCCAAAAAGGAGGTATTCCTCTCACGTTAGATTCGTTAGTTGACTGCGCCATGATAAAATGTTACTTTGTTGTAGCTAATTCTAAATTAAAACTATTAAAAAGAATATGGAATTAAGATGAATTAGTTGGTAAGTTAAAACATTAAAACAATGAGAGATCATTCTCTCCGCCGGAGAGAATGGCCAATGAAGGTCATATCAGAGTGACCAGTTAATTAAACTAATGTGTTTTGCAGTAATTGCAAAACATGATGTAAATCACAACACAGTCCCATTTGTACCAAAATAAAAAATCAATCGCATTAGTACCAAAATTATTCAATTGGACTATTAAGCCGACTGAGACTATTAAGCCGACAACTTTAAGCTCTTGGTATAAGGTCGCCGGTGGATAACCGACTCTAATTTTCGTATAAAGTCCTACCCTCTGTTGGCAAGCTCGCAACACGTTGGCGCGACTGCGGCGGTCACCATTTTGCTGTTTAGTTTTCTTCTGTTTGAACAGTAGAAAATTAATGTAATAATTCGTTGGCTCACAATTCGACCAATCAGAAAACGAGTTGAATAATTTTGGTACAAATGGGACCGATTTTTCATTTTGGTACAAATGAACATTGATACAAACGGGACTTCACCGTCTAGCCACAATAAAATCATACTCTCAGCTTGTGCAATAACTTTTTCTGCATATGTATTTCATCAAGTAATTGGCAGTCGACAAAACGTCGGTGCTGTTCCACTTAACGATGGTTTCCTATATCAAGTACAAGCATAATGTAATTTAAAGTGGGTAAAGTTTCGTGGAATCAAGTGAGAAAAATTAAAAAACACTCAGGAAAAAAACAACATTTTAAAAAACTGACTATTTATAAGTTATTGAGACATCGATAATGATGCGCGTTTCCAATAAATGCCATCAAGTATAAGCTCAATTCGAGAATCCGAAACACGCCGAATCAGAGCAAGCAATGTGCCGCCGTTTGCGGAATCCCCAGCAATGTTTTAGCTAAACTTCTTGTTCCCGATTTTCCGTTGTGTATCAGAAGTCCAATTTATGCAGTGAAACCCCGTTCGACGGCGCATTGGCCGTTTTAATGCATCGGAGTATTATAGTTAACTCAATGATTCTGTTAAATTGAATATTTGCAGCATCCAAAACCAACATAGCCATAAATACTTGGACTACATTAGGTATGCAATTCACCTTGAATATCTAGTCTCGAGCGTCTGTTCCAATTTGAAATCATCAACCGAGCTACTATGCGTAAAATGTATAAACCAAAAAGCTGAAACGATTTTGTAAGTATTAATTTTTACTAAAACGTCTCGGTTACCGTCAGCCAATTTTCCAAATTGTGGCATAGAGTATTTCGTGTCTTTTCATGTATATCCCTTCAGAGAAGCATTAGGGCTCTTTATGCACATGAATGACCACCAGAACCGTTCATATGGAAATTGTTTGCTCCATAGTTGCAAGCTCTCGTGTCATAGGAATGGAGCGCTTTATCGCCAGCCGTATAAATCTTTCTCTGATTTGGTCTGAAAATAGAGAAATTTTATTGTAGCAGAAAAAAACTTCTTTTGCCTTAAGACGTGATCTGATTGCCTCGGCTTTGTTATCCCATATGAAGATCAATTGAAAATTTATTCCACCAGTGGCTCCACCTATTGGTAGCTTATGATAATGTCCTTTCTACTCAAGTAAATGAGTGTGTTATGCTATACTCGGCAATAGAAAAAGGACGCTTGAGTTTCTTACCACACTTTACTGCCTAGACGAGCTGTCTCGAAACGTACGCTCCTTAACTCCTGTCAGCGCTGATTCATCTGAATTTGATGTGATTAATCTCTATTACTTTTTTCTGGGCCACAATGACACTTGTTTTTCCCCATTTTCGTTTAAGAAAAAGTCTAATCACCAAAAAATTCTTAGAGATTGGAATTACTGCAACGCTAGTTCGACTTATTGTTCCGACTTTCGATACGAAAGTAACGGAATATTTGTGCTCGGGGCGGGTTTTTTTCTTCAGACAAATTTCGAATTTTTAACTAGCCATTTTTGACGGAATTTTTTTTTATATCATTCAAAAAGTATTGTTGTCCTGAGCTTAAATTTGTGAGAATATTTTACCTGTGATCATTTTTCGTAAAGTTATGAGGGTTTAAAGAATGCCATTTTGGCCATTTTGGTCAATTTGGGACAATTAACACGCGATATAATTCGCGCTATTAACACGTAAACGGAAATTTAACCCGTCTTAGAAATCGTTCCAAATTGATGGAACGAAGCTTGTTTGCCATAATTGATTTGTTACAAGGAACGAAATCTATCCTTTTGTACTTTGTATGGCGTATGGGGGATGATTTTCATTAAAAAATTTCAAAATTTAGAAAAAAAAATTTCATTTTATTTTAATTCATTTTTTTTGTTATTACTGCTCCATAAACCTTAAAAGGCAGTCGGAACATTCAGGGTTTTGCCCTGATACGAGCAGTTTTGTTGATTAAAAAGAATACGTGCTGAATTTGAGCCAAAATGCAAAACAGCTCTCCGGACTGGACGCCTATCTTAAACAAGACTGCTCGTATCAGGGCGAAGCCCTGAATAATCCGACTGCCTTTTAAGGTCTATGGAGCAGCAAAAACATGAAAAATTAAATGTAATAACGTAAAGCTAAAATAAAAACTGAAAATTTTTGTGAAAATTATCCCCTCACACGCCATATAAAATACAAAGCGATAGATTTTGCTCCTATTGACAAATCAATTATCGCAAATAAGCTTCCTTGAACCAATTTGGAACGATTTCTAAGACAGAATAAATCTCCGCTTACGCGTTAATAGCGCGAAATATATCGCGCGTTAATTGTCTCAAATTGGCCAAAAGCTTATTTGCGATAATTGATTTGTCAATAGGAGCAAAATCTATCGCTTTGACGGCAAATTATTCTACTTTAGAGCTGTTTTTAGTCCTAACGAAACTGACGGCAAATTATTGTTCCGACTTTCGAAGAAAACGGAATAATTATGCTCGGTGCGGTTTTTTTATTCAGTCAATTTTCGCCGATCGAAATAATAGTTTTCGACAAAATTTTGTTATACCACATTAAAGATATCGACATCCTGAGTTTAAATTCAAAAAGGTATTTTACCTCCGATTAATATTTTTTAAAGTTTTGGGTGTTTGAAAATTGCCGAATTGGCCTTGTTCTGGACTAAATCATCCCCCACACGCCACATAAAGTGAAAAGGATAGATTTCGCTCATTGTAACAAATCAATAACAAATCAATTATTGCAAATCAGGCTCTTTCAACCACCAACTTGGAACGTTTTGGCAATCTTTAAACCCCCTACAAAAAATGGTCACAGGTGAAAAATCTTTGCAAATTTAAGCTCAAGACATTAATACCTTTTAATGATATAAAAAATTCCGTCAAAAATGGCTAATTAAAAAGTCGAACTTTGTCTGAAGAAAAAAAAACCCACCCCGAGCACAAATATTCCGTTACTTTCGTATCGAAAGTCGGAACAATAATTGAGGCGTGAAAAATGTGCCACTAATGAATATGGCTTGTTTTGCCCCTCTTAATATTATTGACAAATTTTTCCCTTCACACATTTCGCAAAATAGAAAACGCCAGCGTTGATTCCACAACCATGACCTAGAATTTCTGGAACATGAAAACTCTTTTTATCTCCCCCTCCGGCTTTCACATTTTCTCTTCTTTCAGTTGTTTTACGTGTTATTATGATTGATTGCGTGATGCTATGGTTCCGATTTTCGATACGAAAGTAAAGGAATATTTGTGCTCGGGTGGCTTTTTTTTTCTTCAGACAAATTTCGACTTTTAAACTAGCCATTTTAGACGGAATTTTTCTATATCATTCAAAAGCCATTGTTGTCCTGAGCTTAAATTTGAATCAATATTTCACCTGTGATCATTTTTTGTAAGGTTATGGGGGGTTATGTATTGCCATTTCGACCAATTTGAGACAATTTACGCGCGATATGTTTCGCGCTATTAACGCGTAAGCGGAGATTTAATCCGTTTTAGAAACGTTCCAAATTGTTTGAAGGAAGCTTATTTGCCATAATTTATTTTTGAATAGAAGCAAAATCGATCAATTTGTATTTTATATAGCGTGTGGGGGATGTATTTTGCAATAATCTTAAGTTAAAGAAAATATATATATTTTTACACTGAATTTTTCATGCTATTACTGCTCCATTTACCTAAAAGGCAGTCGGAACATTCAGAGCTTCGCCGTGAAGTTTCGGCTCTCTTCCAGTTTTCCCCCTTTCAAATTCAATTTTGAAAAGCTTATTTAACGTTGTAATAATGCAATGAAATTTGGCGTGGTGAACAAATCGACAACTCAGAACAGATTTGTTTTTCATACATTACAGCGTAACATCACGCATTTAGCCGTAATAACACGTAAAACAAACATAAAACTCGGTAATTTGAAAGGGGGAAACTGGAAAAGAGCCCAAGTTTCATTGCATTATGACAATGCTGAAGTAGTTTTTAAAAATTGAAATGGAAAGTTGAAAAGGCAGTTGAAAAGAGCCCATCAATTGACTGGTCCACGTTGAAGTTCCTCATAATACAAAGATCAGAAAAATGACGTTAAATTTTTTTTCATTACCAAGGTGAAGAGAGAAATGGTAGCTGTTATGGAAAATGTCTCAATAACTTTGAAAACAATTACCATAACACAAAGTTGACAATCAATTGTTATATGTAAAGATTTTGAATTAATGAAATTTAAGAATTGAGTATTTCACAAAACAGGGGAGGCAAAATAGCGTACAGTTCGATACATATTTTAATTCTAGAACTCATAATTCCAAAAATTGATTTTGTCTAGCCGTCCAGTTTCGGACACTCTTCATTTATGAAGTTCCTCGGATGAACCATTCCGTCTTGTTTGTCCACGTGGTACTGAAGGTACTCAAAAACAGCGTCAATTTGAGACTGAGTAATGTTTCCATCCACCCGAGCCAGATATTGGTACAGTTCCTGGAAAACCTCGAAACTCATTCTAGCCGCACCGCCTTCGGGATCGTGAGTTAAGATTTCGCAAATGACACGCATTGTCTGTGTTAGGTTCCCGGCGAGACTCGAACACGCGAGCGATAGAAACTTAAGCCATTCGATGTTGTCATCAAAGGATCCGACTCTCAGCAGTTCCTCGAGTCGTTCTGTCGGTAGACAAAGTCCTTGCCACTTTTCGAACAGCTCATTGTAGGTAAGCTCGTGCTTCGTGCCGAGTTGTCGGTGCAAAACACTGACAAGTCCAGGTGTCAAACCAGTGTCGGTTTTTTGAGTTGCGACCGGAGTTTCGAGGCGTTCTTTGACAGGAAGAGTCTCGCCGTTGGCAAGTGCGCGGAAGTAGTTTGCAGACCATTTCAATACATCGGGAGGCTGAGTTCTGATGGCAGCTTTGGTGAACTGTTTCATAATGTCAGGTAATTCGGGGGGAATTTTGATCTGTTGCGAACAATACATAGGCTCCTCCATGATTATAAATCCTCAGTTTGGAACTACACAAGAAAATTAATATATTTTTTTCCAACTTGATTTTAACTTGATTTGTTTTTAATGTCAATTTGAAAGGTTTTCAATGGACAAATATATAAAATACAACTACAATTACATAAACTGTTTGATTTAAAACGTATATTCAGAGCAGGTGTTTTTATTGCTTGTATATTGCGTGCGTTTAAGTTTGTTTTTAAACCGCACGTGCAAAATCTAATGAGATATGTACATTTGAATGCTGGTTTCCAAATCACAGAATCAGAATGAACGTAATCAAAAAAGCTTTTTTATCCATAGTCTGGCTTATTTATAAAGTAGAAGTCTGGCTTATTTATAAAATCTCATCCCTTTCTAGATGGGTTGGGGTTCCGGCAGAGTATTTTTGGTTACACCCCCTAAATGGATAAATTTCTCAGCTCAGATTTTGAAAGCCAGAAAAAGAAGCAAATGCATTTTTAGTGACGCTGTTTTTTCGCATTTTTATGGCATAATGATTAGCTTCATGAAATTAAATATAAGTCTGTACAGAATAGTCTAAATTTTTAAAGCAATTTAGATTGTTGACACTGAAAATTAGCTGCCCCACGCTCCTGTGGATTTTTATGAGGAAAGTTTGCTATAACGTGGTCAAAAATGCAATAAAACATCTAATCGTAAAAAAGGCTACTTTCTCCCCGAAAAAAAAAGAAAAAGGAGCCACCAAAAAATTACCAGCGTATTTTATATGAAAGTCATATATCACTTTTGGATTTACACTTGCGTGTGGGGAAATCAAATCAATAATTTTTTAATCCATTTTCTTATCCTACATTTCATTGAACCTCATTTTTTAAACCTCTATATGGCGTGACAAGGATAAATTATAAAATAAATTAAAGAAATCAGTTTTTTTTTTAAATTTCGTTTTGCGCAATTTAAAATCAAAAACCATTCAAGGCTGTCATAACTACCGCTACGTATGATTACTTTAAAAATCCGAACAGATTGGTAAGCTAACTATATGTAATTAGACAAGAATGAAAAGATAACTGTATTCAAACGTTCTGAGAGTCTTTGCTCTCCGATACGGTGTGTCCAAACCAGTCTAGGTTAATTGACTGACAGCGAAAATACATTTAAGTATATATAGAATTACATAATCAGTTTATGCCAATGCGGTCGGATGACATTCCCATCTCTTTAAATAGTTGAGTTTTTGAGTCCCATTAGGACTGCAAATGAGTTTGATGTGTCCCGATGGGACTATTCTGAAAGGATTTTAATTCTGTTCTCTCTCTCTCTCTGTCTCTCTCTCTGCTGTTAGTGTATCATCCCTTTCCAAATTCTGCTGCTTCTCTTTTCATGTTGTGTCATCCTCTTCCTGTTGTCTTCCGTTGTGTTTAAGTCTTCATGACTTTTGTCCTCGTGCTCTCTCTTGTTCTTGTTGTTGTCTCCTCCTGCGTTATACTGTGGCTTTTATCTCCTCGGGCGTCCTGTTGGTGATACTACATCAGCCACGTTGATGTTCTGGCTCTGTTTTTCGTTATAAATGTTTCTAAAAGTTTTATGCAGGCGGTGCATTCTGGTGAATCTTCGTTAAATTCCTATTACGCTTTTTAATAGGAGTTATTTCCGTATTACGCAGGTTGTTGTTTTTCTGTTGAGGCTATCAAAAACTTTTTTGGAGTATCTATGCCGTTGATTGGAATTGGGTTTTTTTGTGCTTTCGCTAGTGTTGATTGTCTAGTCCGTGTGGCTTTTTGTGTTTGTTCACCGATTGCCTGAGGGGCTGTCTTTTTGATATCGATACAATTTTGGGATGGCGCCGTGTTCTCTGATGTCGCTGATGACCAGTCGTTGCTTGATGTTGATGATGTTTCCTCAGTGCTTTTCTTTTCTGCTTGTTTGATGTTGCCGTCTGTTTTCAATGCCATGCCACTCTTTTGCCTGTGTTTTGGCTTTCCGCCCGTTCTCTTTCCGATCCGTGCAAGTTTTGCCTTCTTCTTTTTTTGATGATTCCGTTTTGGAATCCTCTCGTGTTTGTAATTCCTTGCGGGTTAGTTTGCGTGGGAATCCCGTCTTCTTGTCCTGCGTAAACGTCGGGCGCTGAGGTGCGTTGGGTCGCTCTATGTCTGAAAAGCGTAAACATGACCCGATCGTTTTGAGGTATTGTAAGCTACATAGTCACTTAGGCAAGAGCGTCTACATGGTCGGTAAATTTTTGGGTCGGGGACAAAATGGAATTCACTGTTTCTCAATAGTCTAGGTTGTTTACCTAGTGTCTGGACCCAAGCCCTGTTTTGGAGTGCACAATAGTATGTTTCCGTCTATTGTTTCTTATTTCTAGTTTTACGTTTTTCTGGTTTTTTGTTAGTGCGTCAATTTTTTCTGGGTCGTTCACTTTTGTGGGGATTATCATCGTTTTTTAGCTATTTGCTGGATCGATTTTTTCAAGTTTTATGTCCACCTGTGTTTTTTTTTGCGATCCTTTATATCTTAAGTTAAGAGCTTCCCTTTTTTAGCTAGTGAATGTCTGGTTCTCACACATCTTTTGTGTGGTCGGCTTTTCTGTTGTTGTAAGCTCGGCTTTCCTTTCTCATTTTGGGTCTGGTAATTGCTTCATTAGTCTTTTTTCATTTCCACTTCGTTCATTGACCAGCATTGTAAATTGTGCATTATATTTGGCGGGAGTGGGGGGTGCATCAAGTTTTTCTGATTTATACACGCGTGTTTTGCGTTTTACCAGTTAATTCTGTTTGTTGAACTAATTGTTGCTCTTTGATTTTAGTATGATTGCTTTTCGTCTCAGATGGGCACTACATGGGAAATTTTTTGTCACTCCGTTTGGAGTTATTCTCAGTGTTTTTATGAATTCAGCGACATCTGATGCGAGTTTAAATGGGGAATTGTTACCATCTATTTGCATCACTCCTAGCCTAGGTTTTAATGTTTGTATCAAGCGTTCGACTACCACTATAGTTCTGTGATCGTCTAACGGAGCGAATGAAAATTTTTATTTTTTTTTTGTTTGATTTGCATAAATTTGGAACTTTTCGTCTCTAAAAATTTGGACTTGTACGCATCTTATTTTTTAAGACCCCATGCTTTATACGCTGATTTTTTGTAACAATCTTTGCCGTTCGGAATATCGGCCATTTGTCCACGGTAACTAAAATGAACGCGTCCTTTTTTAATTTTTCTGGTGAAGGCCGTTGAATTCTAATTGGACCTCTTCATTTGTTTCGAGTACGGATCCCAATTGGAATAATTTTGTTTTTGCGAATGCCGGTTTTAAGATATTTTTTTTGTTTTGTGCAGTGTCGACAGCTCTGTTCTATTTGTACTTTGATTCGACGGATGTTTGGAAATAGTATATTTTCACAAAGATCTAACATTGCGGCAGCTCCGGGATGTGTCAAATGAAGGCTATCTAGTATAGTCTGTCGTAATTGTTGTGTTATTATGATCCGTTCCTCTATTAGGATGCAATCAATTTTGACATGGAGGCGGTTTCTGATGTGGTATCAATAGTCTCCATGGACGCCTCCAAGTCTCTTTTTCGTGAAAAATTCACAATCTGCTTTATGTTGCGGCCTTTGCGGCTGGCTGCTGCTATGAAGCTGATCCTCATCACTTTGCTTAGGTTTGTCGTATACATGGGCGTGTCTTCCTCCGCCTGCGTTCCTTTTCCCTGGTCCATTTTGGCCACCACGCTTGCCATTTTCATTTCATGGCTGGCTTCTAGATGTTGTGTGTGGCTCGTCATCGTCAGCGGTGCCTCATTTGGGGTCTTTTCCTCTATGTAGTGTTGTGTCTAGTCGACTCTCCTTACACAGTACTCCTACTGTTCGTTGCCCTGAACCGTCATCCCTAATAGCGATTGTACGTCATGTTGGCTTTTCTTGTTTTCGATTGCTTGGGTCTACGACCCTGTGTACCCTTTTTTTGTCCGTGTCGTTGTTGATAGTTGTTTCCTCCGGTTTTTAATAATTTCGGACGACATGCCCAGGTGGGTTTTTTTTTAGTAGTGTTCTCTCCTCATCCTTTTTATCGTCCTTTGAGCTGGATGGACTATCCGAGGAGACGAAACTGGGGAAAACTTGGATTTTTGCGTTTTATTATAATGTCTCGTGCGTCTTGAAATTTTTTGTTGAGAACTTGTTGTTATTGTGTGTGAGGACGAAGTCCAGCGTTCATATAGTGCTGTGGTTGTTCTGGGATACCATTTCGGATCAAATAGACTTTCTTTTCTGCTCTAGTCTTCTCTCCAAATTATTGCTGTCTTTCTCCTGCGTTGTGTTTAGCTGTTTAAGGTTGTTTTATGTTTCTTCAGCCCCTTGTCCTTACGCTGTCTATTATTAATCCGCCCTAGAATCCTTAGTTGTTCTTGCCGCTTCTCATTGTATTTTCCTCCGCAGTCTCAAAGAAATTGGAAGATTTTGGTTTTGTTTTTGCAATCAGCCAATTTTTATGTGTGCGTTTAGTCAAGTGATTCTTTTTGTTAAGTTTTGATTGACCACTTTCGATTTCTTCGGAACTTTTGAAATGAAATTGAGATTTCGATTGTGGTTTTATTTTTCTTTTAATACCGCGCGCTTTTTGATCAGTCGATTCGGTGTACGGTTCTGATTGGCTAGCTTATTAAGAATGAGGTTTTCAATCATTTCAAAATTGGAAATAAATGAGTGAATTGACACCAAAACAAAAAAAAATTAGTGATGATACTGGATTTCTCTACATATAGTCTATTGGTCCCATTTTTCCCCGCCAAGTGTTATATGTTGAAGTTAAAAGGAATCATTCTATCAATCCATCTAGTGAGCCTGCTTAGGCTAGTCTTTGGTTGTGTGCGGGTGTTTTATGAACTGTTCAAAGCTCGGTGCTCTGTGATGACGATAAAAAATTTCTTGTGCAAAAAAAACTAAAATGAGTTAATTGACGCCGCAAAAAATTCTTCATGGATTTCTGTTCATAGTCTTCTTGTCCCATTTTTTTCCCGCCAATTGTTTTATGTAGAAATTAAAAGGAGTTTATATATCAACCCTTTTAGTGAGCCTGCTTTGGCTAAACTTTGATCGTTCGCTGGCGCTTAATGCACTGATTAAAGTTTAGTGGTCTGTGATAAAGGTAAAATTTTTACCGTGTGAGTTAAATTTAAATTGTTTGATCGCCCTAGCAACCTCTAACACTTCTAGATCGCGTACGAATATTTTTCTTCTT